TAAAGATTGCCATTTTGGCCATTTTGACCAATTTGGGACAATTAACGCGCGATATAATTCGCGCTATCAACGCGTAAGCGGAGATTTAATCCGTCTTATAAATCGTTCCAAATTGGTTGAACGAAGCTTATTTGCCAAAATTGATTTGTTACAAGGAACAAAATCTATCTTTTTGTACTTTATATGGCGTGTGGGGTGATGATTTTCATAAAAAATTTCAAATTTTCGAGAAAAAAAATTCATTTTATTTTATTTCATTTAATTTTATATGTTATTACTGCTGCTCCATAAACTTTGAGGAGCAGTCGGAACATTCAGGGCTTCGCCCTGATACGAGCAGTCTTGTTTTCATTCCAAATTGAACTGTGTTGAAATGATACATCTTTCATTTCTCTCCGATAACTACTTGTTGTGGCTGATTTTGCATAGAAACAAAAACAAGAAAAAAAAACTAAAAACATCAGAATGCTAAGTTCCTCCCCATTTTCAAATGTTCTGAACAAAAACTGAGTTTTTGACCCATCTAACCATGAAAATGGAGTTTTAGGGGATTATAAATGATTATTTTCAACATTCAAAAATCCGGTATAGTCCATTAAGTTGAATATCGTCCATTCTTAATTTCAAAATAATCATTTGTATAAGCAAATTTGAAACGTTTACTCTCCTCTTTGCAGCGGTGTGCAAAACTAAAACCCGAGAGTTCATCTCTAAGTACAACTCCCATCCCCTCTCCCCAACATTTTTGAAACCCTCACACACACCCCTTCTTCCTCATCCACACTCTCTTCATCCAGCCTTTTCCAACATCCCCATCCATACACACACTTTCGCCTCCCCTCAATCCCTTCCTCGCCCACCTTCACGGGTGGGGGGTAAGCTGGTCGAATGGAAAAACTTAGGCCATTACGAGGCCAAACTGTGCATTCTGAGCATTGTAAACGGATTCCGCAACAGACCAAAATCAGATTTGTTGTGGAATCCGCAACATTTCTACTTTTCTTTGATCTTCTTTGCTGTTTTGAATTCCACGAACAATTACTTAAAACATTGCACCGCTCAAAATTGCGCTAAAAACAGGCAAATTTGCGGAATCCGCAACTGTTTTTGCGGAATCCAGAACAATTTGTGGAATCCACAAACAAATAATAAGACATCTGTATAGTTACATTGAGCTGTTGCGGATTCCGCATCTGTAAGCGGAATCAATCCGCAACTGTAATTGGAATCCGCAAATTGTAAGTGGAATCCGCATTTTTTTTACACGGTTGTCTAAATACAGGCTGCACTCCAAAGTTTATAATCCATTTTATTTGATTATAAACAAATACTTTTGATTTTGTGGAGATTGACCATGACAACTTATATAACCAATCATCATTCACAAAACTCGAGTGCGGGAACGAATTATCATTTAAGCGAGGTCAAACAAAACACCGGGGGACGTTCAACAGTGCCGAAGTACAACAGTGTCAAAAAAGGCGGGAAAATTTCAGAATATTTTACACGCGTTTTCTAAAGAGCGGGAAATTACTGGCGCTAATTATCAAAGAAAATCACTCCAATTTTGGCGCCAATATGTCTGCAACTGCAAAGTAAACAATTAGTTTGGCGCCAAAACGTGTAAGCTGCAAATTTTCTTGCTCAAAATCTTAAAGTTTTACTTAAGATTCTAAATGATCGCAGTTTAATTTTTGATTGCCGCACTTAATATGTTGAAATTTGTTCAAATTTTCGGCACTGTTGAACAAAGTTTTCATTTTCGGTATTGTTGAACAAAGTTTTCATTTTCGGCACTGTTGTACTGCCCCAAAACACCGGTTCAATTTGGATTTTGATGCTGCTTCGATTAAGCTTTAATATGGTCTCCGCAATAACTATTTAAGCTTCACCGAATCACATGAGAAGTATGAGTTTTTATATCGTTCGAACAACCAACCTAACATGTTTTAGCGGCTTCGATCGCAAGCTCCAAGCAAATTAAAATCAAAACATGGTCGACGGTTTTTTGGCTCGGCAAAAAGACCGATTGAAATTCTTTGATACTCATATTTTTTCGCATACAGTTACATGTATTAGCACATAATTTTAAATTGCAGATCAAATGATACTTTTTTCGTTCCCACTTAATTGGTACTCTGTTCCTCTGTTATGATGCTGAACAAACAAGTACTGAAAAAAAACATATCCTTGATATAGATAATAGATGATTAACGGTAAGGAAAAATAGTGCTGATAAAATTAAACCATCGACTTCGATTTCCATTTTACTTAGAGTTTGCAATCGCTGCAAAAATTAGCATTTTTTGAGCAATTGTTTATTCACAAAGGTGGGCGAAGTTTAGTGCATCGTCAATTTGCTTCCAAATACTTGTGAAATTACATTCCTCTCAGGTTCTTTCAGCTCCTTCCGTTGAGCTATAGTATTGTTGTTTTTATCGTAATAAATAGTCTTCTTTTTCAGACGGTAAGACAAATTTAGTTGTGGTTTTTAGTTCTATAAAGAGCACCTTGCGAATGACTTAGAAATCTCGGGTGCCCTTGAGCTGAGGCATTTTTCGCAATCTTGTTACTTATATATCAGCAATATTACAACAGTTTTTTTCATTGCGCGATTAATAAATTACGAATTGGGCCGTTTGGGGGTGTATTCGCAAGGTAGCACGATCGAAAACTTCAGCTAGGGTACTAAAACTACAAACATGGGGATTTTTCATGATGGTGACTCAGGGGCGGATCTATGATTTCTCGAGGGGGGGGGGGGCGGATTTTCAATTTTTTTTTGAAAATTGTCAACTTTATTTTACTTTTAGACCACTTTTTCAGAACCGTTTTTGGGCACTTTTTTGGAAAATTTTGATAAAAAAATTGCGTTTTTTTTCGGCGCGCGCGCTCCTCTTCAAAATTATAATATATTGGCGCCAAAATTGCCTTCAAAAAATGAAAATCATAAAAAATAATATCAAAAGGGGGTACTAGTTTACTTGTTTAGTCCCTCAAATATGCTGTGGTCCCTAATAAAAACCATCTCAGTTGTTAACTGAGCGTAAGATCCGTGTTACCGTAAGAGCTCGCGTGTAAGATCCGTGTTAAGAGCTCGCGAAGATTTATTTCATATCGCAAATAGTCACCTGTAGTTGTTTGATCTTTGAGATATTTTCTCTGGAAAAGCTTCTGGAAGGCAAAAACAATAATTCGAAAATATTCATATTTCAAAACTCTATCAAATCGAATGAGAAAAAGGACCTCCGCAAAACAATTTCTTTTAGGACCTCGTACCTTAGGACATCGAATACTTATTTACGAAGCGTTTGATCGAATTTTTCACATAACCAAAAAATGCCCCGAATTCTGCAGCAAAATATCTTTGAAAAAACCAGGAAAAAACCGCCTCTCTTTATAAATATCTTTCGTCTCCATTGCATTTGCATTTCGGTCATTTTAAATGGACCTTCATGGGAGGAGTGCGGTCTGCATTTAGACAACCGCGTATTCATACTCGTCAGTAAGCAGACAAATGCCAAATTAACCAATCAGAATCGAGATGAGAAAACAAATTTACGAAATAAATAATTATTAGTTATTCATTTCTTCCTTGTCTCAATTCTGATTGGTTAATACAGTATTTGTCTACTTACTGACGAGTCTGAATACGCGGCTGTCTAAATACTGCTACGTAACCTTCATGGGACTATATTGGAGCTCAAATAACCTTGCATTAAGCCCAGATTATGCTAATACGACTTTGATCATAATTCACTTTGCAAAAAATGCAACTGAATTAGCTATATGCTTATCTTTATATGCTGATGACAAGTAGTTCCTATGTTTTTTTGTGCGGTTAACCCCCCGTGAAGCAAATCTGTGAAAACATTTTCTACCAATCGTTAATTCCTTTTCAGTTGTAAACAAACAGCCTTGATACAATCTACTAACTTCTTGCCTTTTCAGTTATGTTTATCTTTTGCTTACAATTACTTCTGACTAGTCAATTCGGTCAAGACATATTTGTCATACCTTGCCATATTCATATTAAACTTGTATTAAAAGCAAGTTTCGTTAATTGTTTACTTTCTTAATTTTTGAGCCAGCTAGGGCATCTGAAAAATTTAATTGTAAGTGGTGTGCTTGCTGCTCTGGACATTGACTTGAAGGAGTCTAGAATTTTTAGCTGACCGTTTTTTAGCAGACTGAAAACAATTAACAATTAAATCAGAACACGAACTTCAGAAGTCATTCGCAAGAAGCGAGAGCTCGTGCTCCGCTTCGCTCTGCTGCGCCGCTTACATTCGGCAAAATAGGAATAGTGCGCGTACATCAGTGCTTGTCGCTTTACTAGTTTTTTTAAATAGTTTTGTTCTCAAACGATGAGACAAACGGAGAACGGAGAGTCAACTTGTGTTGTTGACAAACGGAAACAACCCGCGCCTCCCTCTCCCCAGTTTAAGAGCCTCCAGCGTTTAATTAGGTTTAAATTTGCTAAGCGCTGCGCGGAAAATTCCAACTCAGAACAAAGTTAACAAGCTCTCCCGTAAACACAGATATGATGGGGGCGTGGGAGGGAGGAGTTCAACTTAGTCGACAATTGTCTAAATTTGGAAGCTCAACCCAAGCCTTCGCGCCTTTTTAATTCGGTCGCCAATCATTTATGCGACAATTTTTTCTCCTGTACTAAGCTTTACTCAAAACTTCTGCGGACCACGTTAACATCCACCCCTCCCCCCCAAAGGTTTAGCGGGGATGTTAATTTGACCCGTGTCTGCTGCTAAAAGACCTATATTTAAATTTATGCTAGAAAGAACACTCTGCTAAAAATCGTCCCCTCAGAAAAGTGCTCACATTTTCATCATATTTGCGTTCAAAAAACAATATAATCATGCATGAAAGTAATTAGCTACGAATTTAGCTGAGTGCTTATTTGCTATTTTTACTTCATACACCATTTAACACGAGAACTATATGCTTTGCAACCTGCATTAACTTATCATCACCTTTTTCAGACTTCAGACGTGTCGCCGGAGTCTAGAACATACTGATACTCGTTATACTTGAATGGTCCAGCCAGTTTTCTAGAACATTTTTGGGCCACTGCAATGACGTCAGAAACGAAGAGTGACAAGGTGGCGAAGCGTGAGATTATGGTGACGTTGCTGTTCTTCGGGGCTCTGGTGGCTGCGATTGTGGCATCTGCGATCATCGGGTTCCACAAGTTCTTTACTACAGAAGAAAGTGTCTCTGAGAAAGTATCTCTGGTAGTTCAACACAACAATCCAGGTCAGCTAATAAAACAGCATTTTGGGTACCATTACTTGGTACGTTGGTACGTTGGGCCAAGCTTCAAAACTATCGAAAAGACAAAAATGTGTTTTAAAAGTCTTAAAACAGTTTTTAGATTTTGAATGAAAATTGTAGGGGTCTGTTCCGTTATACGGCCCAAAAATGAAAAATCGCAGGTCAAATTTTTATCAATCGAAGTAACAGTGACAATATACAGAACACAAAACAAATATTATTCAACCGTTTAAAGTTTTTATTGAGACTTTGAGGCGTTATGGGGCGGGCCAAAATTGCGCTATTTCCATTGAGCTATTTCTAAATTTTAATTGGCCATTTTAAAAAATAGCTATGATTTCGGTCGTTTTTGTGTTTTTGGCGAAATGAGTTTCGGTATAATACTGATTTCCAGCTTTTGTCTCGGCTGGCTTCATTTTCAACCAATCATAATTGAGCTTTATCTCATTTATTCCCGTTTTCAAAATTGCCAAAAATAGTGCAAAAAATTTTTATAAATAAACGTTATTTTCTTGAAAAGATTTTCATCTTTTTTGTTTATTTTTTTTCTGAAGACAATTGTAGTCGTTTGTACTTAGTTTACTAAATTTCTACGCGTTTGTATAGGTCTACCATAACACATCTTACAAGAAAAAACACTAACTTGAAAATAAATCTGAGAATTTAGTCGGAACCTTCTGTACTAGTTGCACAGCAACCGGCTATCTTTTTTTAGTTGTAAAATCATTTTATGTTCAAACAAACGATCGCCGCAAGTTTGTAAATTTTGTCTATGACGTACTCTTGGGTGAATTTTTAATACAAATGAATCAAAAGTGACCATGAAATTTGGTGCGAACCCAAGTTTAATATTTTCTTGTTTTCATCATGTAAAATTTAGTTTGTTAGAAAAATCAAAAGCCTCAATTTTTATTCACTAAGTTTTTGGAGTATAATTTTTCTAGCCGTATAAAAAATATTCGGTTTTAATTTGAAAAGTTTAGTGAATTTATCATCATTATTTTTCTTGGCGAATTATCCAAATGTGGTTCAACTGTGCGGTTCTTGCCATTTAAACCCATGGGTTTTTTGTACTACTGTAAGCCCTAGTTACTGAGTTTGAGATATTGTTGCCTATTTTCCACAGTTTTGTACCTTCCCGGGTTGACCTCCATAGACCAAAAATGCTAATCATACAATTCCATAAACTAAGTCTATGAAAAAATACTAATCATACAATTTTCATACATTTTGCTAAAATGGTGTCATCGAATTTTCGAAGAACTTTTCTTTTGTTTTGGCATAAATTTTGGTGTAACGTACTAAAAAAAAAAGGAAAATTTTTTGTCAAAAAAAATGCTAATCATACAATTTCCATATATGGAAATTGTATGACTAGCATTATTTTGATGGCGACAACAAAAATTTTCCTTTTTTATTTAGTACGTTACACCAAAATTTATGCCAAAACAAAAGAAAAGTTCTTCGAAAATTCGATGACACCATTTTAGCAAAGTATTTTTGAAATTGCCCCCAAAAATTTTTTTGAGTTTTTTTTTTCAACCGCAAAATGATTTTCGTACTCAAACAAACATTTTTTTGAAAAAAAATTTTGCATGCAAAATATAATTTTTTGTGTGTATAACGTAGTCCTGGATATACTAATATTGAATTTTTTTCCATTTCTCTTGATAAAATTTTTCAAAAATGCTCAAGACTCCTCTTTTTTTTTGTATGGCATGTTTTTGTATGCCTTGATCAATGTCTGGTAATTTGAAAATTCGATTTTAGAAATAATCATCTTTGAAAATTTTTGCCAAAATTTAAAAGTTTGATACTTTCGTTTATTATTTGCGTTAGACAGAATTAAGACATTGCAGGCTGTTTCCAAAGCATTTTTAATGCGTGACGGCCAATCCTTTGGTTACTACAATTGAGTAACCAAGGCTTATGTCATTTGTGTTCGGTTACAAACACAACCAATAAATTTTGAGAAATTAAAATGTAAAAAATCAATCTTTTTGGTTTATGGAAAAATGCTAGTCATACAATTTCCATATATGAAAAAAATACTAATCATAGACCTTTACGTATGGAATTGCATGGAAAGTGTGTGACTAGCGTTTTTCCATATGTGGAAATTGTATGACTAGCATTTTTGGTCAACCCGGGTTGTTAACTATTTCTTCCTGAGCGTGTCTTATTTTTGACAACCATTTCTGTAAAACATTATTAAGAGATGCATTTCAAAAATGTCACCAACTAAAGGATTTTTATTTTGGCGTGTTCGTGTTTAACGCTTTTTGTAGCTCAAACAAAATAAAGCTATGAAAATTAGCCAATTTATATGAAATTTAGCGATGAAATTTGCGAATATTTTTGCGGCCATATAGTCTTAGGTTTATTTCAACTAAAATCTCGTCGCAAATTATTTGTTTGAAAAAATAAGTCATCTCTATTCAAGTGAAGAAAATTTTTGAAAATATGATTAATTATTAGAAATTTTCGAAATATTATGACATAGATGACCCGAATGAGTCATCAAAATTATTAACGTTTTGTTGGAGAAAAACGATTGTCAGCAAAGGGTGCAAAATATCCCCCGAAAAAAATTAAGCCCGCCCCTCGTCTTAAGTACAAAAAGTATGTCAACTTTTTCAATTATCAAATAAACTTTGTTCTTACTTGTCGCCCAAGATTAAATCCGCCGCCTCTTGACTTAAGGACAATAAATTTGACGTCTTTTTTCAATTATAAAATAAATATTGTTGTTATGTGCTCGTCTGATTGTTGCAGCGTTTGTGTTCTTCGGCGATGATTTCTACGTGGAGCTCTGTCGTGTCATTCTCCTCCAGCCGGGGTCCCTGGATCTGACTTCCATGTTCAGAAACAGTTCCCCCTGTGTGGGCAGACAAGTCAATATACCACTAGACTCTGGCGACCTCAAGTACCTGTCGGAGAATAAACTGAGTGGCGACTCCGATTTCGACTCATTCCTCAATTTGTTCATCCAGAAAAATTTCAATCAAACGGGGTTTGTTTTTTTTTCACCAGAAAGTCCTACTTCATTGAAACAAAGGTCAAATGACTCCGTTGCGGAGCTCACAGCACAAAGGTTTTTTTTTGTTTTGAATTTCACTCCAAAATTATCTTATGCTCAATTGCTCAAACTCTTACCTTGTAGAGGTTGGTTTTTTAAAAAATATATTGGAGTAAAAAAATGCAGGAAGCTCTTTGACAGAATATTTCGAATAGTTATAAATTGAATAATCACGTACATAAACTTGCTTGTATATGAACTACACTCAAGTTCTTCAAGAAAAAACCTATGAAATCATAAACCCATCATCCAATCCGTAAGTGGAATTGATCACTATTTATGTTTATATATTACATAAAATACATTAAATTTACCCCTTATGGAATAGATGATGGGGTTAAGATTTGATAAGTTTTTTCCTGAAAAAAATTGAGTGTAATTCATATGCATGTATTTAAATTACACTCAGTTGTTGCAGGAAAAAATTCTCAAATCATGACCTCATCATCGATTCTATAATGGTTATATATAGTTAAAGAATGGGACAGCGTGATTATTCAATTTATGACTGTTTGAAATATGCTGTCAAAGAGTTTAAGAAAATTTATTTATACTCCAAGTTATACTCCAATGTTTTTAGATAATCCAACCTCTAGAAGTTACGAGTTTAAACAATTATGCATAAAATGATTTTGAAATAAATAGCGCGCATTGAATAACCCACAAATTGAAAAAAAAGAAGTTTTCAATTGACTTTTTTCAAATTCGGCTATAAAGGTCCAAGATGAAATATCTTTTTTTATTTTGAATCAACATCTTTCAGACCGTCTCAAAAAAAAACATTCCGTTTAAAATTTCCCGTTATAAAATCATTAAATTATTTGGAAAAAAGGATAATTTTTTTATCCGTTATCCTACTTTTGTATTAGAATGAATCACAAAATTTTGATGATTTTGAACCTTTCTCTAATCGTTATTTTTTTCACTAAAAGTTTTTGAAGCAGTGCTGCTTTTTTGTTTTTTTTTTAATCCAAAATATTGTGAAAGTTCAGGTGCATGAAACATTTTATTGCAGAGCAACCAGCTCCTCTTGTTTGTCTCTTAATTATCTATGAATTCAAAAAAGAAATTAGAATCCACGAAACCATTTTTTTGTGAGAATTTTGCAGTTTTGCCACACGGTAACAGCCTCGCACTTGATAGGCACCTTATTTGGTGTTACTAGACCACTGAGATCCAGAGACAAAACTTTAGATGAGTACCCAGGGTTAGATGAATTGCACTTACAAAAGTTCCGATTTCCCACACAAATGCTTGAGCAAAAAAATTGACGGCACATTAAATTTCTCCCGGTTTCGGCAACCAAGAAGTTTAGGTGATTGATCCGCGTTACGCAAACTCGAGCGGGTTCCTCAAAATGTGAGCGGTTTCTGCAAATGGAAGTAGGTTTGGTATTTTTTTTACTGAAGTGAACCAGTTATGCTACTGCTAAAAATAAAATCTAGCAAATACGTTATTTAAATGCAGGCAATTAACTATTGTCATTGGAAACCAATAATTAGTTTTGAATCATTTCTTTAAAATCGTTTTTTTGCCTTTTTATTGTTGGGGAGAACACATCAAAGTTTTGAAAAGCTAATTTATTATTTGGAGTTAGCGAGTTTTGGTGGTGAAATGTTAAAAAGTAATGTGTATAATTTTTGACGTATTTTTTTGTTAATCTCTAAAAATTGACTGAAAATTTTTGCAAAATCAGCATATAAACTTACCATTCTAACCTGTTCTGGCCCATATATCTAAGTTTTTTTCTTTCACTTCGCATTGAAAGTCGATCTAAAACTCGGAATAGAATAAGAAATTCTTTTTAAATTAATTTGAAAATACTACGAGGAAGACTGAATTCTACTGAGTTTTTTTATGAAATTTCCATAAGATAGCTGTTTTCAGTTGGTTTTCATTGTTTCAGACATTGAGAAAAAACTTTTGTTCTTTTTTTCAGTACTTTTTTGCCTATTTGAGATTCAATTTATGGATTTTAGCTGGATTCAACTGTATTCAATAAATGAGATTGAGTTGTTGGCAGTAAGTGGAATTGTATTATGCTGGGTTGAACTGTTGTCAGAAAATTATATTCAATTTTTGGCAGTAATTGAGATGAAATTCTTGGCAGTTAACTAGATTGAACCGTTAAAAAGTCTAACTGGCGAGCCAACAAAAAACAGAGGTAGTTTCAAAATACAATTTCAAGAGGTACCTATTTGTGTGATTGGATTCCGCAAACAAAATGCGTTTTCCGCTTCCAATTTGCGGATTTTGCGACAGCGTAGTCGCACAATACATATATAATATGATTTGTGCGTTGATAAAGCAAATTGTTCCAAATTCCGCATACGTTGTCGTGGATTGCGCTATATCTGACGTTTTTTCGAAGCGATTATGAGCAATGCAGTGTTTTAACTATATGTTCGTGGAATCCAAAACAGTAGAAAAAAGAAAAAAATAGCATTGTCGTAGATTCGGCGACAAAACTAATATCGACCTGTTGCGGAATCTGCTTACTTTTCTTTAAATGCGCAGTTTGACCTCAAAAAGTTTTTCGAACCTTTTAAAATATATTTAGTAACAGAAAAGCTTTTGATCGACGTCATAGGGCAGTCTGAACATTCTATCTAACAGTAGCGAATCCCTCCAGCTTTTCATTTGAGATTATTTACAGTAGCTAACTCCATAAAAACAACACAGATAGTCAACCATTGAGATAATAAAAGCACCCGCGCCCCAAATATGGACAGAGTTGAAAATTATATGAGAACCTTTTTTTGACGATAGTCAGTTCTAATTAAAGTATTTTGTCCTGCAGTCGCACCATATAGACTTAACATAATGACCTCAAAAAGCTTTGGAATCCCAAGGGAGTTTTTCTTTCCTGAATTCACTTTTTAAAAAAAAGCTATTTTCTTTGACATCCATTGAAAAATAAACTGGTTCAGTTGCAACAACTGTTATTTAATAAGAAAATTGTTATACATGTGGTTGTCCATTCATAAAAACAAGTTCAGGCTGATGGTTTTTATGAAGCAATACTTGACTTTATAAGAATAAAAATTTCCTTTTAAGTATTCAGTCAAATCACTGAGGCACTGCCAATGAAATTATCCAAAAAATGGTATCTCAGTCTAGTGAATTTGGAAAAAATCATGTCAGTCTGATTAAACTGAAGTTTATTTTCTGAGAAAAAGGGCATAAGTGACTGCCCGTTTTGCGCCACCGATATGGCGCGAAATCAGATCACACGCCACATATTAATAACTAAATAATAGCTGGAAGTTATAAATTGTGGTTTCAGTTTTCCAAATAATAACAAAAGTTGAAGTTATGGCGACAGTTATAACAAAAGTTGAAACCTCGAGGGAAAATAGGTATGACGTGTTATTTATTTTGCTGAACAAGGCGTCTTAGTTAAACGTAATTAAACGAAGCGTAATATATTCTTTCTAAAAAGATTCATGATTGAACATAATTGAAAAAAAAAGATTTTGCATTTGATTTGAAGACACAACAAATGGATCCTTCGCACGCCTAAACTGTAACTAAGGGAAAAACTCGTCATGCTAGTTCTAGAAGGGCCAAATGCCCAACTGTTTTGTGACCATTCAGCAAAGCTAAGGCTTGAGCTTTTTTCGTCGAAAAATATAAGTGGGTATATTAGTGAGCTGTTTGGGAGTGGGAGGGATTTTGTCATTTTCATTATAGGACAACTAAATATTTGCGCAAAAAAAGACGTGATTTAGTCAAAAGCTTTGGGATTTTTTTGCAGGTTTTGAACAGGAACAGTTAGGACTAGCCGAGGGCCCTTGGTCCACATCCCCCTGAATCCGCTCTTGGTTGATTTTTTGAAAATTTTCGTCCTTTGTTACTTCTGTCATAATAATAGACCCCCCCCCCGCACCTAGCATAATTTCATTTTAAATCAGCATAATTCCATTTGCTTTTCATGTGCTCTTCAGTTTTGAGAAGATGGATCTGAGTTTGATGTTGATAGAAGGGCCCTCCTTCTGGGAGGTGAAGGAGACAGTCTATGCCAAGATTAGGTCGCCCAAAAGCGAATTCTTACATCCACTCTACATTCTCATGGACTATCAGGCCACAAACACGCAGTAGGTTCACAGTTTGTAGAAGTCAACTAATTTGATTCATTTCAAAAGCTTATCGATTTTCGACATAAATAACATGATTTATCCGAAAACTGTAGCCTCAGCACAGTTAAATTTTACAATGGATTTTTCTACGTTCTCCCAATTTCCTCGTTTAGTTTACTGACTAAAATGAATTGAGTCCAAGAATATTTTTTTGGACATAACAGTCAAAAATAGGCGCCATAAAATAGAACCCTTCCTGGTTGTACCTGTGCCCAAATTCTTCCCTGATTTAGATCAATTTCAGCTGATAATCAGAACCGTTTTTCGAAAATGCAATTTCTTATACCAAAACTTAAAACATTTACAATTCAATAAATGTTTCCAGACATTAAAAGAAGCAATCGAAAACAAAAGAGGTAATACATTTTTGTGATTAAGAGATTTTTTTTAGATTTCAGGAAATGGAAAGTCTCATCCGCTCATCAGACAACCTCAAAGCGCTCTACTCTTTCAACGACTTCATCAGTAAAGAGAGGACATCATTCCGACTAGTGTCCAGTGAAACTGCCACTATGCTCACGATGAATGATGCCACTATAATACATGAGAAGCACCATGTCACGATGAGAAAAATTCAAGCAGAGGTTTACACAAAAATAGCCCAAAGTTTTGCTTACTCTTTTAATTACAAATATTGCTACCATTTTGAAAAGCTATGTCATTCTTTTTGCCCCACAAAAAAGCAAAAATTAACGCTAGAGCTTAAAACAAATGAAAAAACAAATGTTTCTTGATATCAAACGAAAACATTTTCGAAAGTTTTCTAATGTTAAATTGTTTCAGCCAACCTACATGTGTTCATTTGCCAACGCAGGTGGAATGATTGACTGCAACTCCGTCAAAACAGATAACGCAGTATGTGTATTGCTCCGACCGCTCCCTCAATCAAGACTTGTAATCGGTTGCTTACAAGAATAACTGCAAAAAAAAAAGAAATAAAATTAATTAATTCATTGAAAAAATTCAAGTTAATGTGAAAAAAATTCAATATTAAATTGATTGCTCAAGAACCAAGTGGAAAAATATGAAGATAATTGCCATATGGCTTTAAATAGTTTCGCATAATGCTGAACCAACTCGGCCTAATTTTTGCAAAAATGTCTTAAAACATTTTTTCAGAAGGACTCAATTCATATCAAACCCAATTGCACCACAGCCGAAGAGAGAAGCCGGACTACATACAGCGAGTCTATGTTTCGATGGGCCGACGGTCACTTGAGCGAAAAAATATCTTTGAAGAAGCGAGACATCTGGAGTATTTTTGGAGCCATCGTCACAATGATTCTGGCACTAGATAAACTGAATGCCACTGTCCAAAAGTACAAATCAACCAGTGCCGTCAAGGAAATACGGGAAAAGACAAAGGAAAAGATAAAGCGGGAAAAGACACTATACGATATAAAAGAAGGGAAGAACAACGTCGAAAACGCCAATGAGACTTCTTCTGAACAAAATGGTGCGTATTTACTTACCATACAATTTTTTTCAAAAACAGTGCAATGTTTTTTCTTGAATTTTTATGACCACCCATTTTAATTCGCATAACTGTTTCTTAAAACCCAGGTAAAGCGGGCTAATTTTTTAGTTTTTCTTTGCTAAGCTAGTCATGTTTCGAAAATTCTAAAATCTTTCGTATTCAGAAAAAATTTAGGAGGGCTTCGACAGCCTCCAAAGTATTGGCACACTGGTCTCAATTTTGTGTCATTATAAAAAAAACATTAGGCTCTCCCGTCACTATATGGGAGTTTTTTTGTTTTTATTATACTCAATTAGAGTTTTAAACCGAGTGAAAAAAGTCATATGAATCCTGCGTAACTCTTAAAATTATTGACATAGAATCAGAATAGTTTCAGGGACCAAAGCAGGCAAAAATGTTAGATAAACTTGCCTCTTCATATCTCTTAGAACTAGCAGCATTAACCAATCAAAATTCATTCTGTTTCAGTGTGAGTTACCACTGATTGCTGGCCGATCCCGAGCTAAATTTCGGCCCTCAATTGCTCAAGCATCTTAACGTCACTTGAAGAGTACATAGCGAAGCTAAACAAAACTGGATTCCAAGCTGAAACTTTAAAAAGCCTAAAATTACAAATCTCCAATGAAATAGACTGCATTGAAGTTTTAAATGATGTTGTTCCAACATTTATAAATTGTGTAAAACAGTTTCATTGAACGGTAAAATTTGATAAAGTTAATGTTTTTTCCTGTATAGTATGGCAAATTGGCTAAAAATCAATTCTTGCCCATTTTTTTTCAGCATAAGATTTTAATATAAATCAGTAAAGTTAAAGATTGGATTGATAAACTCAAAAAGGTCAATTTTTGTGAACAGGTCCGACTACTTCCAAGTTTTACCAAATCTTCTTTGGTCAGAAATGGTTTTTATTGCATTTCCATTTATATCACCACAAATAATTTTGCTTGAAAGCTTCAAAATTTCATACCGATGCTAATTCTTTATCGAATGTAGTTTATGCTGGTAAGTAATGTTTTCATTGCCAAAATTTTTTCCTACGAAACATTACCCGAACTAACCTAGGGCGTCTATATTCTAACACAATTAACTTAATTTTATTTGCTGTTCCTTATAGCAGAACATCATATTGAAATATTGTTTGCAAGCTTTTGTATGCTCTCGCTAGTTGTTTTGATTTCAAGGTTTTTCTTAGTTAGTAGAAGATTCCAAGAAAACAACCTAGCTTTTTCTTGGGTACTACTGAATGCTTTTCAAAGTTCATTTTGCAGTCCTATGTACACACTTAACTTTTAATTAAATCGTTTAAACGTCCTCTAATTCCGCATTATTGTAAATTTTGCAATACAAAAAATGCTCCGTTGTATCAAATGCTTTTTTGCAAATACAAGAAAAGAATATCACATCAAGTTTTTTAGAATTGTTTTCCCAGTGGTCCCAAATGTTTTGAGATAGCTCGATGATTGCATCATTAGTTCCTATTTTTTTAAAAACCGAATTGGTTTGGTTTAGAGCGATTGAATTTTTCAAGATAACTAATTATTCAACTATAGAGCAAACGCTCGAAGACAAAAACTTTACTTGAAGAGGGGGAGGGGGGAGAGATGGAATGCAATATGAAATGAATTCGAATACTTGTTGGAACTGGTACAGTAGCGAATATTAGTTTATTCGAAGCAAACATAAAATCATAACCGTCTGTGCCAAACTTATTCAAAAAACAAATTGTAATGTTTGATAGTTCGCTTTCACAAATTTTTTTTCTTGAAAAAAAATTCTGGCGTAGAACTGTTTCTATCTGTGTATGAAATTGAACTGTTGTAAAATAATGATTAAGTTTGTTACATACATCCCTAGAAACTTTATGCGTATTGGGTTTTTTTTTTCTAACCAATAGGAATCATATTATTTTTTCTGTAATTCTGAGCAAGTTTTTTCTTAACATCGTTTTTCACTTTCGCATTTTTATTTCATTTTTTATGCGTCATGTGCATAATACTTCAGTTCAGCCCTGTACTATTTCGATGTCAACAAAAAAATCGAAAAAAAATGAAATTTTTCAAGTCACATCTAAAACTGAAAAGAGTCTGGTTCAAATGCATTTGGAACCTACTGTTTCGGTCTTGAGTAATCTTACCTTGATCACAATTATTTTTGTTACGATCCTTATTTAAATTATCCAAGTGATATGCATATCTTGTCAAAATGTTTCTTGAATTGGTCATAATTATCCACAACAAAATTATCAAGTCATCGTAGATATCTTGCCAAAATTTTACAAAAGCTTGAAAAGATATCCGTGGTACTCAATAAAATTCTCTCATAAATGGATTCTTGTCAAAATTTTATTGAGGCAAATTTGTGCACTGGATAAGCGCAGAAATGGGTTTGTGTAAGTCACTGAAATCTAACGACAAATGTTTAAACATGTTTAAACTTTGTCGTCACGATCAAAGGTATAACAAGATCAAAGAACTCGTGACATAACTGCTAGTTCTTGAGCAATTCATTATCGAAGATCTTTCCAAGGGACCCATGATGGCGTGTTCGTAGAAATCTTAGCGATCTTAGAAATGTTCTGAAGGACTGCTCTTATGTTTGGCGCGCTGATTGGTCCTTTCATTGAAAACAAATTTATTATTTAAGGCAATTAAAACAAATGGCAAATCTAATTTGATGATTAAAACTATTTACCGAGCACTGCATCACTCTTAACAAGTGTGGGGGCAGTAGCGAAATCATTTCGCTACACATCATTTTGTTCTTTTTTATGCTACTTTACATTGTTGCGCTTTTTGTGTTATTTTGGGTTATAACTGTTAGTTATATTTCGTAACTTTTAGGTAGTTGTGTGCACTTAGCATGAAACTTAGTTATAATTAAATTTCACAATAACGATAAGAGTTCCGAAACATTAAGAAATGTGACTTTCAGTATAGATTATCGTTATAGGTTGTCGTTATAATTTATGCATTTCAATTTGAAATTTTCAAAAACATGTTTTTTCGACTTGATTGGAATTTTTCATCCAGTTTTGCAACTTTAGCGGTTAAATTTGAATCTTTTATTTTTTGTCAGAAGTTTAATAAATAGAGTCAATTAGCTTGAGATACTTTGTGTTAACATAAATCCGATAAATAATTAACTTTATCTTTATTATGAGGTAAAAAGTTTTTTCTTTTTTAAGTTGATTTGTTTAAGTAATTAAACGTTTTTACTTGCTAATGGTAAAGTGTCTGCTAATAAAAAAATTTATTTTTCTTCTTGTGTAAAAAATTTTTTCACAAAAAACTCATGTTTTTTAAATATCTTGCTAGAATTAAGGTTCTATTTAATGGAGGTTGTCTTGCAAGAATCTTGCAAGACTTTTCAGAGAGATGCATCTTCTTTCAAGATAACCTCCCTTGATCAACGCGGGCCTGTCTGTCTGAAATGGATGTCATTTTGAGCAACATGTATCTGAGTTCTGATTTTGGCTTCATTTTGGCATCATCCAGTTCTGAACCCAATAAAATGTTAAAAAGTCGGTAAAATTTAAGCGGTGCGTCTGCAAAATCTACTGCAAAACCCGTAATCTGTTCTTTGTTTTAAAGCGCTTCAGAGATCATAAGTATCCGCAGAAATGGAAGAGTTGTTTATGTAAGTCGTATTGCTGAGTTGAATCAACGTTCTTTGCGTTTTTATGGCGAGAGGACCCCACAGAAAATGTAAGCGTAACTCAAGCCATATATTTCACTATTTGCAAAAAGTTTCGGGGCAATCCAATTTGTTCATGGGGCTCTTCTTGAAACCACTCTTTTCCAATTTAAGCACAGCTTACTTTTTGTTTTCTATGTCAATTACGCTGGAGATCTATTCTTCGTTTCTACAAATTTCTATAAAACACTGAAAAAACTTGTCCGGTGAGACCTCAAGTGACTCTGAAACACGCTGGACAAGAGTTTCTACTCAAAAGCGTGAGCTGCTCGGCCAACCAATAATATCTTTCAACACTTCATTGCATTTACTTTATATGCTCAATTGGTCGATCGACACCCTCCATCCCAGGATCATCAAAGACGGGAACGAAACTCACTGTTGGTTGGACACAATTACCTAAAACTGTCTTCAGGATTGTGGAAAGTGCTATATCATCTTTCCCGTACTTTAGGGATTTTTTATGCGAGAAACAAGCGGTCTTTTGACTGCTAAAACGAATCCAAACTGAAACTCCAAATATTGGTCGGAAGCTGCTGGCCATTTTGTGCGTTTTTTGAGCGTCGGGACGTAAGCCTTAAAACAGCACACTGAGATAGCGTTTGTGTAGGAGTGCGCTCTGGCAGAGCGCCTGTGGTGTTTGTTTCAACCAAAAAATTATTCGGGGTAAGTGCGTGTAACTTTTTGGGAACAGAACTAAAAGTCGTGAGTAAGCAGGCATTACGAGAAAGCTCTACTTAGCAAAATGATGTCATCAGCACTTCGTCTGTAAATTTTCTAAAACCATCGATGGCCATAATGTGCTAGCCGCAAGCTAGCCTCTCCCAGAAACCATCAAGCTGCCGCTGCTGCTTTATGTTTACAAAGGATGTCCTTCTGAGCTACCATGGCCGTACCTTCGTTGTTCCAATTTAAACCAAGGGTTAAAAATTTTTGTCGGCGCCTAAGAAATTAGTAACGTTCTTAGAAATCTCCATGTTGTCCGGAATCCTCTCAGCTCTTATAACGAAAGATCCATTGTGTTAATTGGCGGTACAAATTAATGGTCTGCTTCCTTTGCCAGACGGTGCTTGATCAACTTCCTTCAATATTAAAGCCGAAAATACAGCACTTGAACAGCAAGTGAAAAAATGACTTGAACTTACATCATAAGAGACAATTAAACTCGGTGATCCATGTTCAGCAGATTTTGAACAAGCTTGAAAAAATTTTTGATTCTATCACAATTCATAAAAAAAAACAGCCGTGAAAGAGTTGGAATGATTTGGGCTGAAGACAATTTTTTCTGTTACAAACTTACTACGCCTCATTTGTTCGGCTTAAGTCTATTGAAAAAAATCTGAGAAAGGTTTGAATCTCATCAAAATTACATTTACGTAATCCCGGTAAGACCTCACCGACAAAAATAAGTTCGGATCGAGAAAAATACGTTCGGCATCACTCAGTTCTAAGCCCGATTAAATCCAATTAAGTTCGATAAGCGCCAAATTTTCACCGGAAGTTTCACCATGTCGACCAAAACATGCTGCGAATGTTGTTAATTAATTTCATGCGCTTCCGAGACCATAAATTTACAGTATTCGCTGACATCGAATGAGTGAGTTAAGGTGTAGGGGTATAACTCATAGAGTAATTTCGGATAGGGTACACCGTCTGCTCGTCACGCTATCGTATTTTCGGCCGGATAGATTCGTGCAACTTCTTAGTCTAATACCGATCCTAATCTTACTCAGGGTGTTTAACTAGTCTCTGCTGGCTCAATAGATCTAGAGTATACTGGCTTATTGCGACTGCTGAAGTTCTCTCGGAGAGGTAACTAATTTCTAAGTTAAATTCAAATCTCTCTGCTGCTGAAATTACAAGTAATTTCAGCACTTACAAATAAGTGGGTTGTTAGTTTGATGGAATATGATTGGTTAATATTAAATATTTTATAGTGATAAAATATCTAATTTATCCAATAATAAAATGTAGTTTAGATCAGGTTCCACCCGTTCCGGTGTTTACAGGGTTTTTAGAATTATCTTTCTTTCTGTAATTGAAGGATGGATGATGAACGTTGGTATTTGGCGAA